AAATAGTATTATGGTTGAGGTACAGGGGCATTTAGTACTTCACTAAGAACAAGCCCACAACTACTAGTAGTACTATGAACAGCCGCAACATTGGCATTAGAGGATGGGTATATTAATATGTACAAGTACCACCAGGTATTCAAGTTTTGTGTAGAAACGACAGCTCCTCTGAACATGGTCGAGGGTTGGACTAGAAACTGGGTATCGCATGCAGGCTTATACCTGCGCCAAGGGAAAGCAACACATCTTCTATTCTGAGATTTATTTTTCAGGCACGAAGACGAGAAATTATACGCATTAAGGGTATGTGGGGAATTTATGAAGATGCGCGTGAGCTGGGTAGAACAGAGACCACGGTTCTGATATAAAGTGCATCTAGCAGCAAAGAGGGACAGTGACCTTAGGACTAGCTACTACTACTGTCTTGAAATTTGATGCTACTGGGTCCATTATATATTCTACACCAGCAAAAGTAGATTGGCGCTCTGGTACTAGTAGACAGTCAATTATGGTGCGCATCCCATACCGCAACAGAAGTATGGACAGACCAGATAGGTCCAGTAAGCTTATTGAGCTGATATTGACTAAAGGCTTGCCAGAGCATGCGATCTGGTCCCTTGCTGAGCTGATGTTCTATCAATTGCTTGGATGGCAGAGGACATCATAATGGCTGAAGTTAGAGACGTTGACGGAGAGCTGAGAAGTAAATCGCTATAAAGGAAATCAGGATGCATTAAATGCAGTAAGTGTACGAAAATTCTTTCCCTCGAATAATCTGTCTATAAAATGCTTACATCTCTGAATAAAAAATGGTCGTGTAGTAGATTCTGAGTCGCCAAGTTCGATGAGGGTAAGGTTCTAGGTTTGACTATTTGACCCAGTTCGGCATAATACTGATGGCCCATAATTATTGCGAAATATTTAGATACTACTAATAAACAGTGATAAAAATATGAAATATGAACTATGTTCTGTTGTTCAATGGAAAGTGGTGTATCTGCTGGCGAAGATGAGAGTGGTCTCCCCGGTTAAGGTAAACAATACCCGTCAGGCCATAATAGCTGGGTATTATTGATGCTCCACTCTCCGCGGTGTCAGTCACTCCCTCCAAAACGTCACTTCGCCAGCTTCAACCCCCCAACCACTCTGTCTCATCCATCTCCCGCCATGGCTTGCTAGTTTTCCATCTTTTCTTCTTCTCGGCCTTAATTCATCCCGGTCGTTATTCTCCTTCTTTATGTGGTTGTGCCAATAGCCATCTCTGCCTTAACCCCCACTGAAGGAAAGGGTGGTGTCCAGCTCACCTCTTTGCTTCACAGTGTCCTAGGAGCCCTAGCCACCACAAGCCTTGCTTCCTTACCGGAGCACTTGGGCCCAACCTATCCTTGTCGCCCTTTTGACTGAACGGAGGGGCCTCAAGGAGGCTAGAGAAACTAAGCTAGGCAAATTTCCCAGCGAACCCATGGCGAGGGACACCGCGCAAACTCCGATCATCCCTCGTCCCCGGCTGCTTCAGGGCGCCGCCAGTTATCCCTCCGACCTCACCGCCCCCTCGCTGTCTGCGCCCTTCAAGCTTGACGAGGGTTATTCCGATGAAACGAGAAGTCAGCCCGACAAGGACTTCCTGAATTCGCCCCCCGATGATGTGATGCCGCTCCCCGACTGGGTTAATGCTTATAGTGAGGCCGAGCGAGCCGGTGAGTTCAGCCCCCCTTCCCTTGGTTCTGTCCGGCGCAAGGATCCTCTTCCGTTTGGCTTCTTAGCGCGATCATCATCATACTGACAGGCTGTGGTGTTTCATGTAGAGCTCGCCTACAAGCTTCTACGCACCTTGCGTGCTTCCACTGTCGCCTCGGTGGTTGAAAAGCTAGCGCCTCTATTGCACATGGATCCCGTGCTAAAGTTACCTCCCGAAATCACCGCCGAGATCTTCTCCTACCTCGACCCTCAAACATTGGTAACAGCTTCCTTGGCATCTCGCTCCTGGCGTGATCGCATTTTTGACACCCGTCTTTGGAGAGATTTGTACATCAGCGAAGGCTGGCGGGTCGACATTGACGCCGTGCATACGTACGAACAGGAACACTCGGGATTGGAATCCCCCCAACTCCGAAAATCTCGGTTGAGGCATATAGACCCGGATCTCGGTGAACCGAAACAGAAGAAGCGCGTACCCCCCAGCTGGCTAGACTCTCGCGCGACAGGATCGCTGGATAACAATGAGGCCGTGCAAGGAAATGGGCTGCAGCCTTCCGCAGCGGCAGATGTTGAGGGTGATCATCACATGAGTGATGCGTCAAATGATCGTGGACCGGTGCTCGCAGCTGGGCAACAATCATCGAGCGCACGTCATGAGTCGTCGGGAACTCCTCAACTGAAGTCAAACTTACAGCAGATTTCGACGAACGCTAGCCCCCCCAAGTCATCACTATTGATTCGGATGCCCAATGGTGCCGCAAAGATGAATTGGCCACATCTATATCGGGTACGGAGGCGGCTGGAAGAGAACTGGACTAAGGGCCGTTTTACGAACTTTCAGCTGCCGCATCCAAATCACATGGAAGAATCTCACCAGGAGTGTGTATATGCGATTCAGTTTACCGATAAATGGCTGGTCAGTGGTAGCCGGGACAAGACTGTTCGAGTGTGGGACCTGGACACCAAGCGATTATGGCATCCGCCTCTTCAAGGCCACTCAAAGTCGGTTCTCTGTCTGCAGTTCGATCCCCGCCCTTCTGAAGATATCATCGTGTCGGGAAGCAGTGATAAGAATGTCATAATCTGGCGCTTTTCTACTGGAGAGAAGCTTCACGAGATTGCGCCAGCTCATGATGACTCCGTCCTCAACCTCCGATTCGACGAACGCTATATAGTAACTTGCTCCAAGGACAAACTTATCAAGATCTGGAGCAGGCGCCAGCTCACACCAATGGACAAGGACTACCCCTCTGTTTTCCAGGGTTCTGGTGTCTCCTATCCCTCGTATATTGTCGACACAAGCGACATTCCCGCTTTTATACTCGAGGCCGAAATTGCCAAGAATCACATTCGAACCTTGGCGCCATATTCGTTGCTAATGATCCTTGACGGACACACTGCCGCAGTGAATGCTATTCAGCTCAACGAGGATGAGATCGTGTCCGCCTCAGGCGATCGCCTGATCAAGGTCTGGAACCTGCGCAACGGCGCTTGTCGGAAGACAATGATAGGCCACGAAAAGGGCATTGCATGCGTACAGTTCGACAGCAAACGCATCATCAGTGGAAGCAACGATGATACCGTTCGCATTTTCGACCACGCCTCCGGTGCCGAAGTGGCCTGCCTGCACGGGCACGCCAACCTCGTTCGGACAGTCCAAGCTGGTTTCGGAGACCCACCGGGTGCAGAGGAGGCCTTGCGACTGGAAGCTCTGGCTGTCGACAACGAGTTCCGTGATGCCCAGCGCACCGGTGCAAACGTTGACCTCGGCCCTAGTGCCCTCCGGCGTGCCGGATATCAACAGAACACCAACGGGTCCCGGAACCCAAGAGACATCAAAGCACTGGGTGCCAAAATCCCCCCGGGCGGAGGCGGGAGCCAATGGGGACGAATCGTCTCCGGCTCATACGACGAAACCATTATCATCTGGAAGAAGGACAACGAAGGCCGCTGGGTTGTAGGCCAGCGACTCCGACAGGCAGACGCCGCCGCCAATGCCTCATACAGCCACCTAGATTCCTCTGCACGTCAGACAATCGCACGAGCCAACGCCTTTGCTCAAGCGCACCAGGCGCAACAAGCCCAAGCTACCATGGCGGCCGCCGCTGCGGCCGCTGCGATATCAACAGGCGGTGGAGCACCGCAGCAACCACAACCACCACGTTTGCCTACCAACAACTCCAACACCAACGATCCCTCCTCGCAAAATGCACACTGGCCCGCGCACCTAGCCCTGAACCCGGCCCTCCTCATCTCCAACAACCTCCCACCCACCGTCCAGCAAAGCACACCTCAAGCTCACGCTCAAGCTCAAACTCAAGCACCCGCACCCATAATGCATGCCGGCGCCCCAATGAGACCACCACCACTACCAGCCCATGCTCAGCAACATCAACAACAGCAACAACACCCGCGAGTGAGAGCCTTCCCCGCCGCCCCCCAACAACCACCTACCTCGAGGATCTTCAAGCTCCAATTCGACGCGCACAAGATAATCTGCGCAAGTCAGGACCCGAGAATAGTCGGGTGGGATTTCACCGCTGATGATGAGGAACTGAAAGAAGCGTGTCAGTTCTTTACGGGGCTGTAACCTAACCGCTTTACACTACTACTATCATCAGCATACGGGGAAGGGATGATGTGGTATAACTATTGCTTCTTGGATCTATATCATATTCCTTCCCAGGATTCTTTTCGCTTTCTTCTATATATCTTTTCTCCCCTTTTTTTCCTTTAAAAATCTCGCCTACCTTCCCGATTCTTCTTTTGTGCATTAGGAGCCTGTCTATTTTGAGTTTCTTTTTGTCTCTGTCTCTTTATATGATTGCCTTTGGGTGATTTGTCTATATTGCATGAGAATCATTTCGTTTCTTCGCCTCTTCTTCTTCTTGTGGAGACTTTATCTATGTGTGTGGGTCTGCCTTGTCAGGCCTTGTTGTGTTCTGTTCATAACTCTTATCTTTAGAGCATTTCGGCATTGGAGCGATGGAGTCGGTTGGTTCATGTCAGCAAAGACGAAATGACTACAGCTGTTGTTCGTTTATGACATTGATAATGACATTGCCAATAATGAAAACTTGAAGTATGCAGTCACATTCTACAGGCTAGCGCTAGTAATCTGGACAATAGAGACAACCCCGTCGATGAAGGCGCGTCTTGCATATGTACCATTTGGCGAGGGTTGAAAGACGAAGAAACGATCAAATGTATCTGGCGCACCCCCAGTCCAATAAATGTGCTACTGAAAGGACAGCCTCACACAAGTATGCAAGTTATGGTTCAAGCAATCAGCGGTATAAAATTCAGGCCGACATCGGGCTTGTGACCGGGACGTTGCGAAAAGGTAACGTCTGAAGCGACCTCCAAACTCCTGAGAGCCACTGCTGTAGGCTTTGCACCTGATTTTTCGGGGCATTAGGATGCGTATGTTCTGCTGCATTAGATGAAAGATGGCTTCTCGCAGTGGCGTATGTGTCATTGGAGGCCGTATTCGAATGAATGGCGGCGTCCTGCTCATTACGAGCCCCCATGCAGCATGAGAACCAAGAGTTGACGTCACGCAGCGATTGTAGCCAAGGACTCGAGTTAAAGTTGGCGGACTCAATTTCTTCCTGTGCGGTAAAGACGGGTGGTGACTCCGTGGGTGCAAGATAGCATGCCGCAGAATCCCCCACGCTCTCAGTGCCTCGGGCATCGTGGCTTTCCATGTGCCTGGGTATGCCTGGCATTTGCGAACGAGATGCACAGGTGTAAAACGAGTCGACTCTAGAAGTAGGAAGAGAAGCATTTGCCGAGGCTGGTCGTTGAGAAGAAGATGCCAAAACTGGGCGAGGCAACGGTAGTAAGCTATTCAGTCCTATCTGTGGGCGATGTCTTCGCATGCGACTACCAGCGCTTGTGTTTGCAGGATCGGTGCTGTCAGCCTGGTCCCGTTTCACGTCTGAGAGCCTTCGGTTAATTTGTCCATCCTGTGTAGCGCTGCTGTCAACATCAACACCATCTTCGCAAGTAGCTGGAATGGCAGTTCGGTGAAAGGGATGATCCTCCAATCGTCTAGCCAAATTCATGCCGTGGCCACTCTGTCTATAAGGAAAGCGACCTTGAACCGCAGTACCATCTTCTGCCCTTGCCACAATATATGTCTGACGTCTAGGCTGCGGGGGAGGAGACGATGAAAAACTGAGGAGCCTTCGTAGCATCCCTCCGTAGGATCCCGTTCTAGAGCCATCAGCAACGCGCCTACCCGCACGCCTAGGCGGGCTTGGACTTGACTGCTGCGTTCGCCCACTGGTAGTAGCAGAACGGACAGGAAATTGGGCAGTGTAGTAGACAGCTTCTCGAGTCCCGAATGAAGGAAGTCCAGGGGGTGTGGGCGCTCTCACTGGTGGAGGATAAGTGGGAAGTGCAGGGCTGACTGGTGAGTCAAGGTTACCCGGCCATTTAAACGTTCTCGAGGTATCATCTGCATCGTTGAGACTAACTGCCTTCCTGAGGTGCAACGCATCAAGAAGGTTTTGTTTCAGCGAGTCGTCTGCAGGTAAGGCTACAACCGCCTTCCCTTCATCTGTGGATAGCACACGGCTGTCCAATGCTAACTGGGGATGCCAACCAGGGGATTGTGTATTCTTTTCCGGATAATACTTTGGCTCACGGTCCGCCCGCTGGAAAGGATCCGTTGCTTCAGGCGCAAGAGGGACAAACATGGCCATATTGGCAGCGATCCTGCTATCAAGATTGCCACGAGAATGACATGCCGAGCCAAATTTCGAGCCGAGCTCTTCGGTGCCAGAGTCTGTCCGTAGGGCGTTGAAAATGGAACTCTCCTCACTCATCATTGATTCTGACAAGGTCGCTTTGCCTAGTGGTGTGGCTTCTCCCAATGGTTCCACCTCCGTTGCGGAGACTTCATCCTCGTCGGACGAGCCATGCTGAGCGACTGGGGGGTTCTGAGACTGAGTATCCATGATACCATGTAGGCAGGTCGTGCTGCAGGCCACGTTCACACTGATATGAAGATGAGGGTGGACTAGAGAACATGCCACAAGGACGACAGCGCCGTAAGGGATTGAGGGTCCATGGCACCTTCCCTAGATCGTGCAGCCCTGGAGGAAAGTACACAGCACAATGAAGAAGGCATGGTCTTGTGTATAGCATTCAAATGAGTATTAGTAAGTAGTGAGAATCGACCGACTGACTGACCGACAGAAATCAACTGCACGTGGTGCCATTGATATTTTTTTGAAAAATTCTCCGAAAAAGAAATGTGATGAATTGAAGTGAACGGAGCAAGCAAAAAGGGAAGAAGACATGATTAGTCGCCTCAACTTCCCCAGTTTTCCCTCACCTCAACTCACATCGACTTCCTGACATTATCTTTCTTTAAAAGTAAGCATCCACAATTATTGGTTGTTATGAAACTCCATAAAACAAAACAACTTGTACTGGCTGTGGAACGTGCGTGAGCGATGAGATTAAATGATTATGATTATTGATTAGATCCGAGCGCCAACCCCGGAAATGGAGTGAAACAGTAAAACGGGGCTGCTCCACTCCAAGGTTCAATCCTACGAACCACCTGGAAACCTTAGCATTTAGCAATATGCGGTCGGATGTCCAAACTACCCACTCCCTTGGTAATGGATGATCATGGCCTATCAGTGGAGATTGCACCAGTTTAACGCAAGATATAGCTTGTTGTTGTACCCTATTTTCCTCTCAATTCTGGGATGTCTTTCGTCGATCTGATAGCCGGTGCGGATGCAACATCCCCACTGCATGTGTCGAGGTGGTCGCGATGACTGTGATTGCGATGGGATGTTTTAATCAAGGCAGATTAACCTCCCAGTTGACAAATGAGAGAGCAGACAATACGATAGAGCTTCCCGACAAGGCATTCACATTGACTGCCACCCCCTCCCTGACCAAAGTTGGGGGAATCAGCCGAGGTCGGATCGTCGAAACCCAAGAACAACGATGAAACCGGCCGTCATGAGACAAGACTATTCGAACCTCCTTTCCCAAAATTGAAGTAGCAGCAGTGCAACCCAACCATCGGTCCGCTTTATAAAACCGTCTTAAAATCTATGGACGCCATCGTGTCTTGGGAACAAGGCTAGGATATTATTAAAGCCACGGCGCCCATCCGTTTAGTTGGTTGCGGTGAAATTGATTAATTTAGTTGCCCTTTTCCCCCTCATTTAATGCTCCGCTCCTCGCCAGCTGGTCACGCAACCCACCAGCTAACTAGCTGTTAAGTTGTTGTCGTCTTCTCATGGACTCCAGAGCACCCCAGGATTTGGCAGGTTTGCACCATGGCTCTGCCACGACTGCCCCAGCTGAGCTGCCTCCGTCGGGCCCGGTCTACAAGGTCTATAAGCGGCGGTTCTGGGGACTAGCGCAGCTGGTGCTGTTGAATATTGTCGTTAGTTGGGATGTAGGTTCTCTTATGTCTGCCGCCATGAAGAATGAGACACCGATTCTAATATTATCCATCATTATCATCGTCTAGTGGTTAACCTTTTCATCGATATCAACTACTGCGGCTGAGCATTTCCGCGTATCTGAGAGCGCTATCAATTGGATGAGCACTGGTTACCTCTTCGCTTTTTGTGTCGCCAGCCCGTGAGTTTAGCCCTGGATACTTATCTCCCCCTATCTTCGGCGCCTGGAAGCGACTGATACTCACGCTCAATCTTACTCTCAGCGTCGTGATCTTCACTCTCAATAAAGGTGGCCCTAAACCCGCCATCATCACCACTTCAACCCTCCTCCTCGTCGGCAATTGGATTCGATATGCAGGGACCAAAGCGAGAGGAGGCATCTTCGGTGTCGCTATGTTTGGTCAGATCCTCATCGGACTGGCGCAGCCATTCTGTCTAAGCGCTCCAACGCGATACAGCGACCTCTGGTTCTCTGACCAAGGCCGGACCAGCGCAACGGCCGTAGCCACCCTTGCCAATCCGTTGGGTGCAGCATTGGGAGAGCTAATCGACTCTTTCTGGGCGACCAAACCAAGCGAAGTCCCGAACATGGTTCTGTACATTTCTATCATCGTAAGCCTCCCTCAGAATCCCTCCACACATAGATAGAACCAAACCCAGCCAACCACGACATGTCCCACTCACCTACTAACAAACCCAAAAGGCAACGGTAGCAGCACTTCCCTCATTTTTCATCCCCTCCCAACCCCCGACACCTCCAAGCGCTTCATCTGCGAGCACCAATGCCTCCACACCTCTCCTCCCAGCTATAACCCAACTCCTAAAAACCCTCGAGTTCTACCTCATCCTCATCCCCTTCTCCATATACGTCGGCTTCTTCAACAGCGTTTCCTCGCTCCTCAACCAAATCCTCGAACCCTACTCATACACCGAAACCGAAGCCGGCATTGCAGGAGGCCTTCTAATCATCGTTGGCCTCATCGTCTCAGCCATCATCTCCCCCCTCACAGACCGCTACAAGCACTACCTCGCCACCATCCGCACACTTGTCCCCATCGTAGCAATCACCTATATCGCCCTGATCTTCGCCCCGCCCAGCCCCGCCGGCATCGCACCATCGTATGTCGTGTGCTCCCTCCTCGGCGCGTCGTCCTTCGCCCTCCTCCCCGTCGTCCTGGAGTACCTGGTCGAAATCACGTACCCTTTCTCCCCAGAAATCGGGAGCACGATCTGCTGGACAGGCGGGCAGTTATTGGGCGCGATATTCATTCTAGTTCAGGATGCATTGAAGGCCGGAGAGAACGCTTCTCCGCCGGTCAATATGCAGAATGCGTTGATTTTCTCTGCTGTCGTGGCGGTCGTGGCTGCGCCGTGGCCGCTTTGTATTGGATGTTTTGGTCGTGATGTGAGGAGACGGAGATTGGATGTTGATCGAGGCGTGGAGTTGGGACAGGAGGAGGAGGCTGGTGAGGTGCAAGGTGATGATGCGGAGCGTAGAGCTGGAGCTGGGGAGGATGATACCAAGAAAGGATTCTTGGGGTTGAGTGTGGCGTGGAGGAAGTAATCCTGGAATCCTATAGTCAGTGTGTACAGAATGTACTTTGTGATTGATGATTGCACGTCTGATACCCGGCGTCCATCAAATGTGTCAATACTATGACCTGTGACTGTAAATAAAAAGCTCATATGATGCTCAAGAAGGGTCAAAAAACAAAGACGAAAAAAGGAATACTGAACAAAGTCTAGGACAAAATGACATTCATCTAGTAAACAAAAGGAAAAAAATAAAAATAAAATAATAAAAGCACAAGTTTCAAACAAGGCAGAGACCAGCTATCTGTACATACACAGTTGAAGGCGACCGCCCCCCTTCTTAAGAACCATTTCCATATTCCATAGCCCATCCATCTTTCATAGGGAGAAGGAAAGTAACAAACACGCATGCATCATCGTCATCATCACCGACTCGCAACCCGTACCGTATTTGTCGAGGGCGGGTAGCGGTCGAGAGAGACGACACTGGATGTATGTATGCTCCTTTCTTTTTTCTTTTTTTGATCTTCATCAACGGCAGGCCCGCATAGCCATCATATTGTGAATCAAATCAAAAGGGATCGATCGTAATATGCCTTTCTTTCTTTGTCTTCCTTCGTCGCGGAACCTGTCTTGTCAAGTTTGGTCGTGCATTAGAAAGAAATGTAGCCCGCGGAGTGGAGTAAAGAAGATAAGAAAAAAGACGTCTTTAGCTATCTATCGATCGACCGAGAGTGATTTGATTCGTTTATTTGAGGGCCTTCCAGAGCTTGGGGGCGGCGCACTGGGTAGCGCAGTGCGTGAGGTGGAAGACTAAGAAGGATGGTGCGTCAGTTTATGGGATTTGTTGTTGGTTCGTCATGATTGCGATATGGTGACGAAGGAATTGTGGTGTTATGATGTGCTGGTCAACTTACACTCCTCAACGCAGTCCTCCTTGGGGCCCTTGTAGTCGGGGTCCTCCTGCTGCTGGGTTACGCGCTCGACGCACTCATCGAAGTGGTGCTTGTAGGGGGCGCACTGGGAAGAGTTGGCGCACTCTGAGAGAAGCAATTGATTAGTGAATGTTCGAAATAATGAGATCATTTGCAATGGGATGAGTTGTTCCGAGTCAATGGCTCAGAATCGCATGACGTGAGGGTCGGTCAGCGTGCATCCATCTGACCGACTACCCGTCCTGTTGGCACATTGTCCGTCTGGAAACGAACTCCCTCCAGAGGAAAATGCACGGAATAAGTGAAATATGAAAGTGACAGTAAACTTACCCTCCTCAAGCTGGGGCTTGATGTCCTCAGGCTCCTCCTCTTCCTCCTCCTCTTCCTCTTCCTCCTCTTCTTCCTCCTCCTCAGCGGGCTCCTCCTCGGCGGACTCCTCCTCAGCAGGGGTCTCCTCAGCAGACTCCTCGGTGCTCTCCTCGGCGGCAGGGGCGGCCTCCTCCTCGTTGTTCACGGCGGGCTTCTCCTCAGCCTCGGTCTCCTGGCTGGGGGTGGTGGTGGTGGTCTCCTCGGCGGGAGCCTCAGCCTGAGCCTCGGGGAAGCCGAAGGAGGACATAACGTCGGAGAAGAAGTCGGAGAGACCCATCTTGTCTTTGAAATTGGTTTCAATTGAGGGAAGAGGGCGAGAAGGGGGGGCGTGTGGGCGGTGGATGTCGCGGTAATTGAGGATGGGGTTGGTTTTAACGAACTCGAAGCTTTGGCGTTGCTGGTTTCTGCCGGCCCTGGAAAATCGGAACACCCCGGCCGCCGGGCGATGGTCGCAATTATCGTACACGTGATTGGCCGCTCGGGTCGGCCGTGACTAATGCGGTAATATTTCGTTTTCTTACTTATCAAATTAATTAATTAGTTGGTTAATGTTCGTGCCGTTCCGTTGTTGTTGTTGTTGTTACTTCAACTACTGGGTCTACTATTTGTGATGCACTGTATTTCAACAATAAAATTCCAATTAGTATACAGAGAAAAGAATTAAGAGGCCGCTCGGGCTTGAGGCTACCGCCGGAATATGTGTGTAGGAAATTGGAGACTATCTAGTCATGGAAGAAAGCATTGGATACGGCACCCGTCCTGGCTTCAACTGGCTCGACGCAGTCTCTCCTCGAGCGCTTCCGCCACACTCTGCTGCTGCACCTCTTCATAATCCGGTGGTGGCTCCATCGGCTCTGATCCCGCTTCTGGCCCTGTGTGTTGAGACTGTGGGCTTACAGATTGCTGTGCGGTACTGTGGTCTGCTCCGGTTGTACCACCCGATGGGCCGGTGTACGCAGGTAGCTCGTCGAGGTGGATTGCAGACATGTCAACATTTCGGGCACCTCGACCGCTCGCCTGCGTATTCTCGACAGCCTGTTGTAGACGCTCTTTGATTCTTTCGAAATTGTTGTGGAAATCAAACGCCCCTCCCTCTTTGAATGTCACCTTGAGCTGCACGGCAGGCAACGACGCAGGGATGCCTCCTCCAGATACCGGCTGGACTAGCGCCAACCATGCATTGGGCCCAAAGAATGGTGCAGTGACATGGGCGTCATGGACATTGAGTAATGGTGTGGAAAACGATTGAAACTCTTTCGTTTGTTGCGCGGGAATGTAAACGATCTGACACGAATATGTTAACGAGAGCTGTCAGATGATAGGGTCCAAAAGCAAGACAGTACCCTCTGATTTGTCAGGTAGACTCGACCGGCACTGCTTTGCATGGAAAAAGAGTCCTTGCTGGCGCTAGAGCCTAGGGGTTGCAGAGACAGAGTTGTCCGCGGAGGAGAGGCGAACAACTGATGCTCATTGGGTAGTCGAACAAAGCCTTCGGGGCCTTGCAGCATCACCCAGCTGTTGTATTGGGTATTAATTAGCATAGTTTCTCCGGCCTGCTATCCCCATTCTGGGTTGAAACAAGTATACAACGCAGGTTTCTGACTGAGAAGTGTGCATGCTGGGGTGTTATGGGATGATGCGAGAGACAAGGGAGAAGAAAGTTGCATCATTTGATACAGCGTAGCAGAATTAACAAATCAGAGGTGATAAATCGATGAAGAAAAACCATCGATACTGAGTGCATGCAGAACGATAATAAGAGTAGCTCAACCGGGCATGGTGGGGAACATCTACATACTTGATCGACATTTTGTCAAAGCCACGATCAAGAACGTGGTCTGTGTGGCTGAGTGCAGACTGTGCCGGGATGCAGGCTAAGTACTGTGGTATTCAGATAGTATATCGTTCGAGGATGAGTTACTGGAAGGATGGATTCAGAGTGCAGAATGAAGAGAGGGCAGCATTGGCTGAAACAATCCAACCAATGAGTAGCACCAGGGTCCAGTTTCAGGTGAGACGATCCAGGGATGATTGGCGGGACGGAAATGATGAGAATTCTCCAAGGGTTGGTGAATAGTTTTCCGATCGCTGATAGAGCGATCCCAGACAAAAGAATGTCAGATGTGGTATTCCAGATTCCACTTCGTTGATGGCGGCGAAGCACCCGAAAGTGGCACTGATGAGAAGTGAGGCGATAGCAGCAGTAGTAGCTGCAGCGGACCACTTTTGTATAACGGCAGAAAAGTTGAGTAATATCTTTTCTTCTATTTGTGTGGTAATGATATTCGATGGAACAACAGACCTCCTAGAGGTTTTTTCAACGATGCCCAGGAATTTCTGAAGGAAAGCGAGCCAGTGAAGCCCGAAGGCGGGAGACGAAGCAGTCCGCGGGGCGGCCGTCAGGCGGGGAAGCTTTTCCAACTCTCCAACTCCTTACACACTCAAGGTGTCTCGGTTCGAGCGGCTGGCCAGTTCGGACTTCTCTTCAACATGTCGGACATAAAGGAGGAGCCTTCATATGGGCGCCGAATCTATCCAGAGAGGTTTGGGAACGCAGAAGGATTCGAACATCCAAATTGCAATCCTTATTAGGCCAACTTCGGCTTCCTTCTTTCCGGCCTTATCTTATTCTTTACCATGGATGAACTAACTAGGGACTACTGCGTCCACTACTCGCATACTTCCTGTGCCCCCCTCGCCCGGAAACCCAATCATTCCCGCATGCGATATAGTGCCTGGATTACAATTGGATGAATGGCAGAGTGGATGTCAGTCTAGAAATTAGTAACTACCCAACAGGATGATTAAGCTAACACAGAGTTCATTTCTGTGGATGGAAGCCTGCATACTCTACCCTGGTGTCGACGTCCACGGACCTCCAAAGTCGATAATTTGCAGCAATTATATCAATACGCACATGCAGGATTCAGGGATATGGACATGTATCATTAAATCAAAGCAGTATTAGCGATTTCGTTTGCTAGGTAGATAACACGGACCTCTCGTGTCTCCAGAGGCGGAAGACTAATCAGTGGTTGGACGCATGGACACTATCGGCACGGTCAGATATAGTTATTTGAATAGCTAGCTAGCCAAATCTTCGGAGAAATTGTTCCTTGGACTAAGCAACTTAACAGTTCTGCACCAACGCTGTGTGTATGACCTGAGATAGACCTACGATCCCAGGGGTTTCGAATAAGCTACGCACTCCCCAGCAACAACTATTCGCAAACAATCCTATCAGGCAACATGGAATGACTTGATATTCTGTGGAATCCCCTACTATGTTCAGCCATATTGAAAGAGCTTGACTGACTCCTTGCATCAAGATGGTAACAGTCAAAAGACGAGGATGGGTGGCGCTAATGTACGAAGCTAATCTGGGCCCAGAGGGCTATTCTCGAACAGAGGGTGATAAGGATGAAAGCCACCCATACCTATTGCCAGAATTATTTCGATTCAGCCATGGTACGTATCTGCCAGCGTGGCTGTCATGCAAGTTCACAAAGCGATGGTAGGTGCTTGGTTTGGTTGAAGCTTGTCAGCTGACAAGCAAAAGTGGCTGCATGTGGCCCAAGGGTATTTTATCTCGCGTGTCGCTGTGCAATTTCAACACCATCTCTCTATAAAAGCTTCTCCGATGACATGCTCTTCCTGACTATTCGGGGAGGTCAGGATTGCCGGTGAGGCAGCAAAAGGCATCCTCAGGCATGGCCGGGCCAGGCTGGGGAGCAGCTCGAAAGGCCGCGGTTACGTTGAGAGCTGTTATTGGGTCTTTACACGTGGAGAAAACCGTCCGATCAAAGTCACGGCCGACCCACCCCGTCTTCCATCCAGGTTACGTTTCCCCCTTCTGCGCTATTTCTTTTGCCTCTTCGCTCGTTGTCACCGCTTTCTGCGACTTCAATTCCCTCGTGGTTCTTTTTGTGGTATTCTGTCACTCCTTGAGGGTCCGCCGAACCGACGATCCCCGTTACCCCCGGGAGACGATCGAACGCGAACAAAAAAAGAACAGTGTAGCCTGATGAGCACGGCCCTACCGGGCACATCCCCAAGCTTACATTACCCTTACTACACCTCTGGTGGCCGTCATCTCTTTCATATCTGCTCTCCAGTTTACTAGGGTGCAGCTGCTTGGGTCCACCTGTCCGAATATCGAGATACTGCCTGGTGCATCGCCCCTGCACTACACGGACGCCCCCGTCTTGCATCGTGAAACCTCCGCTTCTCTCGCAGCCTTCTACAAACCAGCCCTTTTCGACTCGGAAAAGCTTGTCATACTCTGAAATATACGCATAATCATTCAAGATGTCGACATCGATACACTTGTCGAGGTTCCGGAAATGGCTCCTTGCTTCGCCGCCAATCGAGTTTGCCATTGGGCAACTTCGGGACCTCTTGGTTGGAGCAATCCGACAGGGTCCAGTTCCACAACATATTGCTTTCGTCATGGATGGTAACCGGAGGTTTGCCCGAACGCACGGGATTGAAACGGTGGAAGGACACAACATGGGGTTTGAGGCTTTAGCAAGGGTGAGTCCGATGGAGTTCGGTTCTTAGAGAACTTCCGTCTTCCGCCAGTGTCAGCTGCTAACTTATACCGTGGTTTAAGATTCTCGAAGTCTGTTATAAGAGCGGCGTTAAAGTGGTTACAATCTACGCCTTCAGCATCGAAAACTTCAAACGCTCCAAATTCGAAGTGGATGCATTGATGGAGATGGCCAGGGTAAAGTTGTCGCAGATGGCTCAGCATGGCGAGATGCTCGATCGCTACGGGGCCAAGGTGCGGATATTGGGTCGGCTGGACTTGCTCAGGCCGGATGTTCTCGCTGCAGTGAACCGGGCCGTGGAAATGACCAGTAACAACGGTGACTGCGTCCTGAACATCTGTTTCCCGTATACGTCGCGCGATGAGATCACCACGGCTGTCCGAGATACCGTGGCCGAGTACAGCCAGCCCCTTCCGTCGACTCGTCCGTCGTCCATTTCCTCAAGGACTCCCTTTTCCGAATCCCACATTACACAAAACATTCGAGCACAGACGCAGGTTTCGAAAGGGGAAGAGGAACCGAGTGACTCGGAAGCGGCATCAGAGTCATCAGGAGACGGCGAAACGACGAAGCACAAGACACCGAACGGAGTCTATGAAAACGGATCTTCGTTTTCTTCCTCGTCGACTCTCCACCTCGCCGGGCAACAAGATGCTGCCAATGGGAAAGTACCAGCAGCAGAACCCGCCATCGGGAAGGAGAGCCTCGTCTTTATGTCCCCCGAGACGATTACGCGCCAGACATTGTCAGAGCATTTATTCACCCATGACAATCCTCCTCTAGATCTGCTGGTCCGGACGTCTGGAGTTGAGCGCCTTAGTGACTTCATGCTGTGGCAATGCCACGAGGATACGGAGATTGTCTTCCTCGACGTCCTATGGCCGGAATTTGACCTTTGGCAGTTCCTGCCCGTGATGCTGAGATGGCAGCGTCGAATCTCCAAGTCAAAGAAGAACCCGGATGCGGAGGGCAACTTTGACGGCGATACGTCTGACTCTGCGGAGGAAAGTAATGGCAAGGTCAAAGACCTGTAGATTGTTATGTTCACTTTTTATCTTTTCTCTGTTGTTGTATACATGGACTGGGTTACCGTCCTGGCATCGATCATTGGGAGTTTTGGAGTCATCCTTGGGAGCATTGACAAATATTCCCCCCATCCTGTCATCCATCTAGAATTTATAGCACTCACTGAGCTAAAAGCTGAAAGAAAAGGGTTCCATGATGAGCATATAGATGCAAACATAGCACCTAATTTATAGTTACTATATACTATACGGGACAGCATCTCCACCTCGGGGAATCACGGATCATGTAAAATAATCAGATAAAATAGAGTGTCCGCTATCGCAGCCTCCGATACCGCATCCGACCAAGTGGGCAGCCCCACGTGACTCACACTGGCGGGGGAATCGAAGCAACCACTTGCAACACTGACTCAACTTTATTTCCTCTCCTGATATTGTTTTCTTCCTATTTTCCCAATCTAGTACCCTGATATCTTCCCAATTGTCATCATGCCTGTCGCCGGTTCCAAGGTTCTCCTGTTGGGCTCGGGCTTCGGTATGCCTCCCATCTCTCTTCCACTCCCCCCCGCCAATTCGGACCCCGCATTGGGGGGTCATTAATGGACTCCATCCCACTGACTCAATGTCTCGATAGTCACGAAGCCCACCGTTGAGGTTCTCAGCAAGGCTGACGTTAACGTCACCGTTGGTACGTACAGCTCAATTGATAGAGTTCTCCCCATCCAGTAGCACCCAACATAGCTGACCATCGTCTACTATACCCCAACAGCCTGCAGAACCCTCGAGAGTGCTCAGAAGCTCTGCGAAGGCTTCAAGAACACCAAGGCCATCTCCCTCGATGTCACCGACGATGCTGCTCTTGACAAGGCTCTGGAGCAGGTTGACCTCGCCATCTCCCTGATCCCCTACACCTTCCACGCCAATGTCATCAAGTCCGCCATCCGCACCAAGAAGCACGTCGTCACCACCTCCTACGTCTCCCCCGCCATGATGGAGCTGGATGAGGAGTGCAAGAAGGCCGGCATCACCGTCATGAACGAGATCGGTCTGGACCCTGTATGTCTACCTATCCACATCACCCCCATATCATACTATACAGTGAACTAATTCCACCTCCAAACAGGGTATTGACCACCTCTACGCTGTCAAGACCATCTCCGAGGTACGTCCAGATTTCACCCACCCTACCACCACCACTCAACCCATCCCTAACCCACCCCCTTAGGTCCACGCCGAAGGTGGCAAGATCACCTCTTTCCTCAGCTACTGCGGTGGCCTCCGTAAGTCATCCCCCCCCCTCCCCAAAAACGTCACAACCAAACCCCATCCTAACCCCCTCAACCAGCCGCCCCCGAATGCTCCAACAACCCCCTGGGCTACAAGTTCAGCTGGTCCAGCCGCGGTGTCCTCCTTGCCCTCCGCAACGCCGCCAAGTTCTACAAGGACGGCCAAGAATTCAGCGTCGCCGGTCCCGACCTGATGGCCACCGCCAAGCCCTACTTCATCTACCCCGGCTTCGCCTTCGTCGCCTACCCCAACCGCGACTCCTGCCCCTACCGGGAGCGCTACAATATCCCCGAAGCCCAGACCGTCGTCCGCGGCACCCTCCGCTACCAGGGCTTCCCCGAGATGATCAAGGTTCTGGTTGACATCGGCTTCTTGTCCGACGAGGGCCGCGAGTACCTCAACAGCCCCATTGCCTGGAAGGAGGCCACGAAGCAGATCCTCGGCGCCACCTCCTCCGCCGAGAAGGACCTCGAGTGGGCCATTGCCTCCAAGACGGCCTTCGCTAACAACGATGACCGCGACCGCATCATCTCCGGTCTTCGTTGGATCGGCCTCTTCAGTGACGAGCAGATCACCCCCCGTGGTAACCCGCTCGATACTCTCTGCGCTACCCTCGAGAAGAAGATGCAGTATGAGGAGGGTGAGCGTGATCTTGTCATGTTGCAGCACAAGTTCGAGATCGAGCACAAGGATGGCCAGAAGGAGACTCGTACTTCCACTCTTTGCGAGTATGGTGTGCCCGGTGGCTACTCGGCTATGGCTAAGACTGTTGGTGTGCCTTGTGGTGTCGCTGTTAAGTTGGTCTTGGATGGTACTATTAACCAGAAGGTATAGTGGTTCTTTCCTTGTATATCTGGCGTTGGTTGAGTGGGTTGTTGGATGGATTGCTAACTGTTGTTGCTATCATAGGGTGTTGTTGCTCCCATGACCATGGACATCTGCGCTCCTCTGATCAAGACCCTCAAGGAGGACTACGGCATTGAGATGATCGAGAAGACTCTGTAAAGAGTATCTCTTCTCTTATAATTTCTCTTCTATGATGATATATTAACGACTTTGGAGATGGGTGTTAGAGAAAACAAAATAGGGTAGATCAAAAATTCAGATCGGTTTTGATGAAGCAGTATTTCTTGCAAGAAAGAGCAGTAGAGGTGTTATGTATATGTAACAGTTACCAGAAGTGTAGAAGTGCAAAGTTCAATGTCTTCTTCCTATCGTGATTTGTCTCATCTACTAATATGTTCATGGTCTGTCTATCGTGCATTCGTTGGACGCATACCCCCCCATTTGCTTGGAGGGGAGGAGTTTTATATCAGGTCAGGTGAGGTAAGGATGAGTCGGCGCAAGATTGCCTGTCCCAGAAACACAGTTTGTCAAGAATCCAAAAAGCAGTTCGCTACCCCCGTCTTCTACAGGACGCGTGGATGTAGACAGGATCCGTTGTCGCCCTCATAGCCCCCAAAGTGCTAAATTTAGATCATGATATGGTCATGGTTTCGCGGATGCGCTCAGAGAATAGTGCCAAACCTATACCGAGAAGAAGAAAAACAACCATCAGCAACTGTCTCCAAGAAAACGAAGATCTGGCAAGCCATTGTGAGGAAGCAATTGGCTAATAGGCAAAGCAAGGGGTTTAGAACATACCCGAAAGTCTGCTTGATGCTGCGGACGTAGTAGACATCCCAGTTTTGCTTGGTGACATCCTCCTGACCAACAGGGACGCCAGTCCAGGTCACGCGCATCTGAGTGACGCCGTCGACATCGTTCTGGTCGAACTTGATCTCCAGCGTGCTGAAATGACCCGCGGGCCACTGGGCAAGACGCCACTTCTGCTCAATCAAGGTGGGGGCCTGGAGCTTGGTGTACTCGCCGGTGACGTTTCCGTCGAAGATAGCGAACTTTCCGCCCACCTGAGCACCCTCAAACTGGCGAGGGGGGCCGCGAGTGAAAGCAGCAATGCGCTGGGGGTCGGTAAAAGTGTTGTACAGCTCCTCAGCCGTGGTGCGGAACTCGTCCGAAGCGGTCACGGTAGTAGTGTTGACCGAAACCTTCTCCGCGGTAGTAGTGGTGGTGGTTGTAGGGGCAGAGGATTCCTTCTTGGAAGTCTGAGGGTGGTACTTGGGAGCAGCGAATCCGCTGGAAGGGTTGACACCAGGAGCGTGTTGGAGGTCCTTGCCGTGCTCAGCAATGAGGGCGGGACCAAACTTGGCCAAAGCCTGTCTGAGTTGAGGAACGAGCTTGGAGCGAACCAGGTCCTTCACGACCTGCTTGGAAGGAGAATCCGAGTAGTTTTCAATCTCAAACTAAAGAGCCATGTGGTCAATTGGCCGGACAGCTATGGGAATACGAGGGGCTAAAGGGAACATACGACGTACTCATCTTCCTCGGTGTCATGGGCAACCTCGGGGATGGTGATCTTTCCACTAACGGACTCATCGTCCTTAGTCTTACCTGTCAAAGGTCTTAGTGGTGTGCCCTGAACAGAGAGAAACACTATCATTGCTTAATTACGAACCTTCATACTCGAGCTGTACTTTGACATCGAACAAGGTGATGACCTTGCCCTTTCTCTGACTGACGTCTACATCGCCATCCATGCTCAGCAGGTTGGAGATCTTGGCAGAGGCTCCATTCTCCTCCACGGAGAGGACGGAGAGGTTCTCCTTAAGGTAGTCCTTGGCCCAGCCGGAGGCATCCTTGTTCACCCAGTGCCAGTTGTTGGGGTTGTGAAGAACCATGATGGTGGTAGTTTATTTTATTATCAATTGGTCTAAGGATCTCGATGGAAAGAAAAGCTGCTCTATTGCGGGGCTGAACTTCGCCAGTGGGTCAATTTGCTTAGCGAGTCTGTGTCTTTTTTTCTTCTTCCTTCTTTCGCCAAAAAAGCTGTTGTGTTCTGCATCGCACATAGAATATTAGCATATTTTCATAGCCATAAAGTAGTGCGATAATGTCCAAATATGAGTGGAGGCATCGTTTCAGGATCCGGATAGCGTTTCCCGGACCGCAAGCTACTCAGCATGGAGGAATATTTCATCCCCGTCTGACTGGTGCCAGCTATGAGTTCTCATCATTCGATGGGACAGCCCTCCCCGAGACAGGGTCCCTTCCTTATAGGAGGGGAACCAGGTCAAGATTGGGAGGGAGTGAAGTGTGCATAATTGGGCAGAAAAAAAAATTCAGAGGCAACTTACAGTCACAGAAAAAACGTCTCACTTTAAAGACGCTGGAGCAAAGACAGATCAATCAAGTCCCAGGTGGCAATGGGAGAGTAGGAGCAAAGAGGGATGGTACCGTGGGAGCGGAGGGGGAGGGGAGAAGCCTGTATTAAATAAGACTACGAGTTGGTTTGGAGAAGGGAAAGGCAAAAGGGGAAAAAGTTCGAGGATCCGGAAGGAAACCTCTAGAAGCCGCATGGGTCACGTGGTTACCCGTCCGGTCATCGGCGCGGAGGAACAATCTTACCAGGATATCTCCATTTATTCCCTCAATAATCAAGTGGATTCGCAGCTGCAAACGAATGTGGGTATCTTCTAGCGACACAGTAATCAAATCACTCAATCAGGAAACAACAGTGAACAAAACCGCAGAAATAGACAAAGAAGTAAACTCTTGATAGCCCCTCGTCAGTCATCATTCGTGAACCAATAACAACTTGCTTCCATTTATCATGCCTGCTCCAATTGCTCCAAATCCTCCCATCCATCTTCAACTATTAGCTG